TGTGGGACCCCTGGGAAACGAGTTCAGAGGAATGGTAAGTAAAATTGGCATTAAGCAGTGGCCATTTCCGAGGGAATGAGGTTCTTTCACAATTGTAAAGCCTAGTTCTGAGTAATTGCACTTGGGTAACAGGCTACTTGTGGAAGCAAGAGCTATCGGCTGAAGAGCAACATAAACCAAACCCCAAACCTTGGGCAGAGTTTTGGAGCTTGTAGATCCAATGGATTCTGACCAGGGATGACGTGGAGCATCCGTCCTGTTGTTTGCGCTGTGACACTGGGAAGTGACACTCCAGAACTCTCACTCTCAGAAGAAATGCTGCTGCCACTGCTACAGGGGTGTTTTATTAGCTACTTTTATTATCCAGGTAGGCCTCTGCCTTATTCTTTGTGTTACTCATTCTTCAGTGAGACCCAGGGGTCTGATGTTTGGCCACAGCAAAACACATTTGTGTCTCCCAAGCATCATCAGCAGCGGGGGACCTGTCACGACACCCTTGTTTATACAGGGAAAGTGAAGGAAGTGGCTGTAATGAATTTGCAACTGAGTGACAGAAGTGAAATTTTCTACTCACTCATGTATAATCTGGAGCTGTTCCAGATTCCTTGGCAGATACAGCGCCTTTTGTGTGGGGTGCAGCATTTTCTGCCTCTCGCTCCTCTGTTTGTGTCTCTCCACTTCACACTATGCTCCTGCGTGGGATTTGCTAGGCAATCACTGTGTCTGGAACAAGTGAGGGCAAACAAATCTTTTGCTGGGGTTTGTTTGTGTTGTCTGGGGGGTTTCTTAACATCACTAATTCCCTACAAATTGTCCACCACCGCTGATGGCAAAAAGGAGATGAAAAGGCCAGCCACATTAGCCATCATTAGAATAAGAATCATGTATTCCTCCCAGCTGAGATGCATATAATTAGAAATTAGAAAAAGGTCAGATCTTGCCATTATCAACTCAATCAGCTGCTGAGTGCCGCACAGTCAATTAATTCAGCATCTGTATTTTTTACAACCCCACGCACGTATTCCATTGGACTGTAACTCTTTTTCTGGACAGATATACTACGCAGTGAAGCAGGAACATAAAATGAGAGACCCTAAGCAAATGAGCTGAGATAATTGAGAGATTTATTTTTTATATATATGAGTGTGTCAGGTCTTCTTGCCTTTGCCCTTGAATATTGACTTTCATAAATGTGATTGTTGGATGGATGCGCTAGTCTGAGGGATCTCTGTCCCTCTTTGGAGCTACACTTTTCTCGTGTCCATTTACTGAATAGCTCTGTGACACAATGTAGGGACTTACCACCGCGGCGCCTCCTATTGGTCGTCTCGGGGAATTGGTTCGATCCAGTAGAGCGCCCCTTTCTGGTGGTGTCCCGTCTGTCGTCTCGCCTTTGGTTGGCGTGTGGACCCGCGTTGCTCCCAATGCACAGTGTCCTCTTCTGGAACACTGTCCTCCGACAGTGTCCCTTTGTCCATTCATACCCCTTCCGGGGGCTGGGTGACCCACAGTCCTACACCTCCAAGTCCAATTCCTACAGTCTGGGATCTGGTGTAGTTTCAGCTGGCCGCTCCCTGCGGCCTATGGCTGGGTGTACTGCCAAGGGGAACAAAGGGGGGGGAAGCCAGGCCCACCCACTACTCTGAGTCCCGGTCCAGAGGCCCTCTAGCAACAGCCTCACTGTCCTCTTTCTCCTTCCTCCTCTGTCTGTTCCTCTGGACTGCTTCCCCAATGGCCCTTCTTCCCGCTAGGCCCTTTCCTTCAAGGCCTGCCGCCTGGCAGGCTATGGAGTAGGACCTTCTCCGCTCTCCAAGGCTGGCCTGCACTTCGCTGTCCATGGTGCTGGCCTCCCAGCTCTGGAGATAGACCTTCCCCTCTGAAGGCCTGGGACAGACTGACTGCTCTCTCCCTGAGCAGTCTTTTATATGGCTGAGCTTGGCCCTGATTGGCTGTCTCCAATCTGGCCTCTGATTGGCTCGCAACAAGCCCTTCTCTTATTGGCTGCCGGGATGTGCAGGCACCCGGGCCTGCCGCAGCCCACACTCTCCGGGCTTGGGGCAGCTGCCCTACCACGCTCTGAAGAACTTAATTTCCCAGTTTGTGTGTTGGTCAGGTTTCTTTTGTTTGTTTTCGTTTTGTTTGACCTTGTGCATTATTCCTATTTCTGCAAAAGAAAAGAAGTAGGATATGGAGTATGGGGGTGCAAGGGTTCAGTAGCATATCGATGTGAACCAGTATTAGTGGGACTGAAGCAGGAGCTGAAAGGCAAAGGGCTTTCAACCTCTTCCTCTCAAAATTCCCTGGAGTAGATGGGGACTAAAAGGAGTTTGTCCCCTGTTTGCCCTGGCTAACCATGCTTCTGATTAATCTCTTCTTGTTCTATTTATAAATTGTGCCTAATCAGCGCCCGTTATTCTGACTCCCCGCTGGCTTTGTGACTCAGCTGAGAAAGCCTTCACAGTGCATTAGGACAGAGAAATGTGGCTATCTCCTGAGGTCCTCTCCTTCCTCCTACCCCTTTTTAATGCCACTTTTATAAATCTCGGAGCTGGTAACGAGCAAGGCCTCATTATAGCAGCAGAGTTCCAAAGGCCCTCCTCCTACTATTGCCATTGCATGCTCATCAGGGCAATTGATGGCAAGGCCATTGAAATGTATGTCGCCATTCAACCCAGGAGCAGTCTGTGACTAACAGTTCGTAAAGATGATCACTACAATTTGCAAGTAAAAAAAAATCCTTTGACATGTAAAGACTTTTTGTTATATAAAACTGGCTTTAATCACCCCACAGCGAATAGCTGGAATTTTATATATTATGCAAGATTTCAAACTGAAGCTGTAAAACTTAAAGTTCCAGTTCCATGAGAGGAATGTTTTATGTGTACATTTTTTAACATTTATGGGGTACATTTTAATGAGGCCCACGCTTTGCTCTAGGGAAAGCTTACAGCCACGTTGCTGCTCTGAAATCTTGTTCGAGAGAGTGGCCAGTGGAGAATAATCAAACACATTTTTACATCCAATGTTTAGTCTCCAAAATTTCTTTGGGCATTTCTTTTAGTTGGGATGGTAATTACAGTGAGTTTCTGCATCTCCAAATAGTGGAGATGAGGGGGAAAAAATAGAGACGAGTGGTAAAAACTCATGCTGAGTCGCTCTGAGCTGGGTGATTCATTGGTTGATACTGACTAGCAAAATAGTCTTCAACCAGTAGTGCCCACTTATTTGGGAAGCCTAGTGATTAGAAGAGAAACAAAAACATTACTGGTTAATTACTAACTTTCAGTTGGTGAAAGTGGATATTAGTTCATTTTCTCAGTTCAATATTTTACTTACTTTTTTTACCTGTCTTGAAATAAGAAC